TTATATATTATATATTATTATAAAGAAGAACACAAAAAGGTTAAAAAAGATTATAACCATAGAAATAATTATTATTCAATGCATTATAATCTTATATATGGTTTTACTTTTTTATAAATTTTAGGCACTTATTCATCTTTTTTTAGTTTAATACATTATATCTAATAATTATAAAATGATGGAGAATATAAAGATAAGAAATGAAAAACAAGAATATGAGAAGACAAAAAATAATTAGAAAGCTTTACTTAAAATTTATTGAAAAATTATTTAAAAAATAGAACTACATGTGCAATTATAATACCATAATGATTACAATTATTATATCATTATGAGCATTTTCATTCTTTATTTAAAAAGATACATTTTTTTTCTAATGATTTTAAATAGACCATATAAATACAATTTAATACCTTAGTAATTATAATGATTAAAAATAAAGAGTCACTATTCCTAACCTATCCTATAATAATAATCTAATTAAAGAGATATATTTACATGATTTTTTATTTAAAAAGATACGTTTTTTTTTTCAATGAATTTAAATAGACTATATAAATACAATTTAATACCATAGTAATGATGATGATTAAAAATAAAAAGTCACTATTCCTAACCTATCCTATAATAATAATGTAATTAAAGAGATATATTTACATGATTTCTCTTTAAGCTCCACCCTTCCCCATTCTCCATGCAAACTTTTGATGAAGGAATTTGAGTCAACCAACAATTTCAAAAAAGTATATTACATTCGATATTGGATATTTGATACTTATTTTATTTTTTTTAATTACATTATTTATACATTACAATTCAACATTTTCTTTTGACAACCATTTTGTAGCATGAAAAATCCTAGATTTGTGGAAAGAATTAACTTCAAGGAACTACTGAAGAGGATATCTATTCGATTGAATTTAGGTCAACGACAATATCAAACAAATCTAAGTGATGATGGGAATTATGCCTCCAGTATTCAATTAATCCAAGAAGAGGACTATATTACTATAAAATTAATTTACAATGGCTATAACATGCTATCTTAGAACTAAAGAAATCTCATGATTTTGCAATTGAAGATGTTAATTACACCAAAATGCAAGCTATTGAAGAAGCTTTTCAAAGACAATCTTCTTTGCGTGAAATGGAGAAAGAAAAAGATGCAGTATATAAAGATCATGTTTCAAGGATTGTTAAAGGACTTAGAACAATGTTACAAAGAATAAAAATATCTTACTATAGCAAGAAAAAAATGAATGTACTTTTAAACAATATCTAATAATTTTCATAGTATGTAGAATTGACTATCCATGATATAATATATATAAATTGTAGGGTTATCTTTGTCTTATATATTCCATTCTCTTCTTAAAAATTACTAACAATGTCCTTAAGTAATCTATTATTAATTTAATTATTATTGATAACTCTTCCAACTTTATTTATAAAACTAGCTTTTTCTCTTTTATTTTTATTATTGTTGTCAACTATCATTGTCTCTTTTTCTTAATTAAATAATCATTCTCTTCACCTTTTATTATATTATATTTAATTAATTTATTCAGTTTGTCCATCCTATGAGAATGACAATGGAAAATAGAAAACAAACAAAAGGAATGGAAAAGATACAGAGGAACCCACCCAACAAAAAAAAAATATACTACTACTTAAACCCCGTTGAAACTATGCCCTAAACATAGTGTTGAAATGGGAAGTAAACAAGAGCTGCATCCAGAGGTCAAAGATGTGTATCCTTGGAAACGCATAAAAAATATTGGAATGCATAATAATAGAAGTCATGGGACTAAATTGTAAATATTTTCAAAGTTTGAGGTCTATATTGTGCAATAAACGGCTCCAATTAGGGACCTAAACGAATAAATTTGAAGATAGAGGATTAGATTGTTCATCATGTAGAAGTCTTAGGACCAAACTTGCAATTTTATCTTTGAAAAAATAGCAAAAGGACCCAAAAACCGGACACGGGGTGTGTGTTGAGACTCTTGCTTAGTGTTGATATAATTATTATAGAGGAAGTTGAACAAATTAATATATAGTTAAAACCTCTAAGCACGGGTTATTAAAAATTAAACTCATTTTAATATATGCATAACAGAAAATAATAATGAAGAGAATTAAAAGAAAAGAAAAATTATGTTATTTACATGTACATTAAAACCTCCATTAATTAATAAAAAATTATAAAAAAATAAATAATTAAATAACAACATAAAATAGAAAAATCTCATTTAAAATTATCATATTAACAATTACAAATCATGGTATTAAAAATTTTATTCGAAATTATTATATTAGTAGTTACAAATGATAATATTATTACATCTCTAATTATAAAATAAAAAAAAACTTACAATGATACCAAAATAAAAATAACACCGTTGGGAGAATGGGTCATTGAAGGCAAAATCATGACAAGAAACAAGATTAGCGAGAAGGTTTTAATATCAAGAATTACAATGACTTAACAGCAATGAAAATAGTCATTTATACTAAAAAGAAAACAATTTCCTTTAAGACCATGCTACGCAATGACAATTAATAAGAGTCAATGGCAGTCCCTAAAGCATGTTGGCCTATATCTATTAAATCATGTTTTCAATCAGGGCTAATTATATGTAGCTGCATTTAGAGTGACATCTCCAATTGATCTAAAGATTCTCATTGGTCATGATGAACAAGACCATGAAAGCTACACAAAAAACATTATTTATTATAAAGTTTTTAATGATCTTTTACAAGTAATCATTAAATAATAAAAAGCTCTTAATGTCTTACTACAAGTCACTATTAAATAATAACAATAAAGCATGATATTCAAATACCTTCTTATGAATATTCATTATTACAAAATTTTTAATGATCTCTTACAAGTAATCATTAAATAATAAAAAGCTTTTCATGTCTTACTACAAGTCACTATTAAATAATAACAATAAAGCATGATATTCAAATACCTTTTTATGAATATTCATTCTTCTTTGTTATATCATTGATATTTCATAAATATAATCTATCAAATAAAAAAATAAACACAATTAAAGATAAATGAAAAAAAAAAAAAAAACCACACCCGTGCAACGCACGGGCAAAAAAAACACTAGTTAATAAAATAAAGAATCAGAGAGGAAATTAAATCCTTCCTCTCCGTTTCACATCTATTATGATTTATTTTTTCCTTTATTTTTTAGCATTGTACCGTTGAGAAGTTGTTTTGCTATTTAAATTGCATTAAATTTTAAGAGGTTGCAAAAAAGGTAGAATGCTTATGAGTCCTTCTAAGATTAGAGTCATATATCATGTGCCCTTCACATTGGAGTTTATATGGGTCACATTATGTATGACTTTGATCCTATTAATATTATTAAATAGTCTTGACTTTTCATTTAAAAAAATTTTAGAACATAAATTATTAAATAAAAATGATCAATTTTCATCTAATAATTAATTAGATGTAATTTAAACCATGTGGACACACTTTATCCATACTCATTACTAATTGAAATAAAACTTATATTATAAAAAGAAGTAACTTTATAAATAAATATATATATATATGTATATGAAAAGTAAGTATCAGATTATATTCTAAAAAGTTAAGTAAAAAATATTAAAATTATATTATTTTAATACAATTTAATTAAAAAAATTAAAATAGTCTAATTATTTTAAAAGTAAGAATATAGATATTTTAATTTTTTTTGTAATATTTTTTAAAATTAAATAATTTTAAAATATATTTTTCCTTAATTTTTTATAAATTCAACTAATAAATATTAATACATATATATAACTTTTTAAACCAAGATCTCCATTACATAGGGACCTGCACTCTGTAGCGAAATAATTATATGCACTCTGTAGCGAAATAATTATATGTCTCATCAAAGTATAGTTTTAGTTTTAAAGTTGGGTTCAAATACCGTTCTTTAAAATTGTAATCTGTCCAAAAAAACCAAAAAAT